ACACACACACGCACACACACATTTTTAAAATACATTGGTCGTTCTGAAATGAGTCACAAAGTTTGTTTTTCCTCTTAAGCTTGGCTTGTTGGAGTGTGAAGAAGTCGCCTTCACCAATCTCGATCGTGTGTCGACGTGTTGTAGTTTATTGACTGTCAGTGGGACGTCAGCGCAATAACACACTAAGGGAATAATAAAAGCAACCCATAAATCGATGTAATTGTTGTTTTTGTCTATTCATTCGTCCGAGTAACGATTTTATTGCACAGGAAATTGTTTTTGAGATGGGACAAGGCTTTCTATCATAAACTGTAATGCAATGGAATCACTATTTTTGTAACTTTTGTACACATTTTGTACACAGTAAAGTATTTTAAAAGTGTTCTGGAGAGGGTGTTTTTATTTCTTGTTGAGGTCTGCTATTTCCGTTTTATCAGAAATATGTTTGTTAAATGGGAAACGGTGCTGATTTTCATTTTGATGTCATTACCTGTGTTGTTTTACTTTGGATCAGGGGCACACTAACGTCACCAGTAGCAGTAATTCTCATTTTCAATGTTGGTGAACCCTGCGCTACATTTTTCTCCGTTTAGTATTATTCGCTGGATATTTCTTATTAAAAGATCAAATGACTGAAAGTTTGTGTAAACTTAAATAATGGACAATACTGACATCTAGTGGACAAACTAAAAAAAACGCCTGCTCAGGTTTGTGTTGAAAATGAAAGTTTAAATAAAATATTGATTTGATAATAGCCACTAATTTACCATGAAGGTGGAAGAATGATAAGAAATACGCCACGTATTTTATTGTTTGTTCCTATTTACTCGTTCAGTGATTATGTCAGACCAAGGACGGATGTGCCATTTTGATTTTGGTAAGGGGGTGTTACCGGGATGAACCATTAACTACAAAGTGATTAAAAGGATTCGCTTGTGGCGAAAACTAAATTAAGACAGCTTCGTTGTCTGCATTAAAAATATAACAGCGCTAATAATTGAGTAATGAAGTGAGTGTTGTTTTTTAAAAAAAAATTAACCAATTTGGCAAGAATGTTTGCGCCTTCGCACTTGCCGTAGTTGTTTAGCGCGCAGTTTGAGAGACAGCGTCGCATTCACGGGCTGTCATTTGTTTCGGGAGTTACCTGCGAATATCTGTAAAGTGTGAAATTACAGTATTTCCAAAGTCAAGTCACGCGTCGGTTTGGGGGGCGGGGGTCAAAGAGTCTCATCGGAGACCCATCCATGCGCTGGTAAGGATGCTAGCGGACTAGTTTAGAGCCGAAAAGCGGCGACGGCGACATAACAAGAGCAAACATGGTAAGTTGTAACAAAGCAGATGAATGATTGTACCTTTAAAGTCTCCACTAAATTGACATGTTAAGTTTTGCATCTTGTCTCGTCGCCACTCAGAGAAGAAGTTTGGCTCCCAGTCAGGTCGCTAAACGGAAGCAAGCCGACGATGAGGAGGACGAAGAGTGGACGTGTGCGGCGGTCAGTGAGCTTGTTGTCGCCAGTAACAGCAACGTTGCAAGACTGCCACACTTTCGTTCCTTTTTTTTGTGATTAACTGATGAATCACGTTGAAATGAACGGTTTTAAAAAAATATATATATCCCTTTATTGAAAAACGGGACATAATTTCAAGCAAATTGTCCTATTACACCTATTTTAATATAAAATGCAATTCTTTTCAAAGGTTTATAATTACATAGAGTTGCCACAAGATGGCGGAAAAGCACTGCTTTTCCCTAAATGAAGCGCCTCAATTTACTTCAACCTCGTTCCAAGCAGTCAAGCATTTTTTTCCCCATTCAAAGCATACAGCAAACTTAACTCATTTTTCTGTGATCGGTGTCTTCTCACATTTTCTGCGAGGGTGCCTTGTTACTGACATGATATGTGTGTTGCTTTTAATGTTCGGTAAAGGCGTGTCTGCGCCGAGTGAAAGTTGTGATTGACCGGTGTGCTATGTTGCTGTCCACAGGGGAGAAAAAGAAGTAAAAGGGCCGAAGCGCAGATACGACCGAGTCCCATGTCGACATTCAGGAGGCCGCTGACGCAGCTCAACGCTCGTCCCGTGTGCCCCGACGGCAGCAAACATGTGAGCGCGCGTGAAGGCGTGGCATTTACTGGAGCAGGGGCTTGGAGTCGAACTGTCTCGTCACCTGATGGAAATCTTCTAACCCGCAGGAGGAATTTATTCGTCGGATCCTCTCCAAGCCGTTTAAAGTTCCCATCCCGAATTACACAGGTGAGGTTTTGACCGCCGCAACTTTGCAGTTCTCAACGTATCTGACC